CAGCAGTGAAGTGGGCTGTGATTGTGTTGTAAAATTTGCCGTACAAACAAGAAGCAATCTTTGACAGATTATTGAAGACACAATTTTTAGCTCAATATTTGGATGCCTTGACTGTGATGACTATAAAGTTACAGTAATTAATAAGTGGTTTGAAAGGGACCAATCACCATAGAAAACAACTCCCTATTAGTACAAATTAATGTGTGTTTGGGGGGGAAAAGATTGGGTACACACTTAACCTTTGACATAGTGTACAAAGTGGTTGCCCTGAGGCTTGAACCCATAACCTCAAGGTTTTTAGGCCAAGATTTTACCATTGAACCAATGGTGACCCCTGAAGGGGTAGGAGGGAGAGCCAAATCATGTTTCACTCTCTTGCAAGATTTGTGTGTTTCTATACTTGCATGTCTGACAATAAATCATTATAGATAGGAAGCCATAAATTGATTTTCTAGATGCTTCTAGCTGTGTTGAGGACTCGCTTATTTTATCAGTTCCTTTTCTATCTTAAGGACTGTTGTCATCTGTTAAGTTATACAGAGAATGCAAGATAGTTTGTTCATATCATTTGAAAGAGCTAAGCTTGAATGTGTTTAGAACTAGATATATGTGCACCTAGTGTGTAGGATCCATGTCTTTGAAATGTGTACCTAGAGCACAAGATCATCACAGCAAAAAATGTGGGAGAGGAGATACAGGTTGGTCAATTGAGTAATAGAGACTAGAGTAGTTAAAAAGTTTTCCAAATGGAGCTCATGTGGTTTTTTTTTTTTAAAACTCTTCCAATTTTTATTGTGAGAGAAGAAAGGGAGCATCAAAAGCATATGTTCATACTATAGGAAAGCATACAGGTAAAAAGCTTGTGACCATAGTTTTGATTCAGATGTCTTCCTTCTAACCATTTATTGCTTATTGCACTGTGTGGATTGTGATTCCAATGTTCTGTCAGTTCTACATTTGGAATTCAATGATTATCAGTTGGGGGCTAACGTCCACTATATGCCTTGTGGGTCTCGGACTATAATGTGTTGGCATTGATGGAAAGCCTGTTACTTCGAAGATTATATTAAAAGGTAAACAATGAACTTTATTAACAATTTTTGTTATGTTCAATTTTTGTAGGTTGTTGAGGTGAATGTTAGAATTGAAGAACCTGGGAATAATAATATTCACCACAATGCATTCTATGCTGAAGAGACATTGCTTAGATCTGAACTGCAAGCGATGCGCGATATTAATCCCTTGTCTGCTCGCCACTGGATTGTAAGAAGATTTACCGACATATTTTTTTGAAATGGGATTTTGTTTTATGTTCTCACATGCAGAGTTTTAGATAAATGTTTTCAATTTTCTTTTCTTTTCTTTCTATTATATATATATATATATATTACATTTGAGGCCGTAGCTTGTGGGAGGGGATAGTCTTGCCAAGAACCCTTGATCTCCTAGTAACGTACATGGATTTTAGCCAACTGGGACAGCCCTTTTGACATAGTTGATTTATTTGTCTCTTCAATTTGAGGGGGTCATATTCATTGATTTTGCTACCGAGAAGTTGCTGATCCCACTTTTACATTTGCATATAGAAGGAAATGGTTAAAAGAAGCAAAGAGCAAGTGATGTTTACTTGATAGTGTAGAAGGGAAAAGAGGTTCTGCGCCCTCTATTCAAGAGTGCTGTGTGTCAGTGTGTGCTTGTGTTTGGAATCTTTCTTCTATTACAGGATGTTTCCCATGAATTCAATTAATTTGGGAACTTGTTTCTTGTGTGAACATCCTCTGTTCGAGAGGGAAATTAAATTCAAATCTACAATGATATAGTCTAGGTTGAAGAGGGTGTGGTCCACTTGCAGCAAGGATCTATTTCATTGTCTAGCTTTCTTTTGGTGGGAGTTCTACTGTTTTTCCTGGCAACCTTTTAGCAAAGTCAAATGCAATTGTCATCCATTTTTTCCAAGCATAAAGTGATTCCTATTTCTTGTGTTCAACCATTGACTTGGTTTCATGGGGATTGTAGGACTGATTTCACACCTTGAACCTCATATTTTCTTACTATGTCCCTTCTGAAATTCCTTGGTGTACAAGTACGAACTCTGGGATTGATGAGGGTCAACTGCTCTATAATTAAAATATGCTACACTTTATAATCTCTCTATTAATTAATTAAATTTTGGGGTAAATTACACTTTGCCCCTTTTATGTTTGGTTACTTTCTCACTTTGACCCTTAAAGTTTGTTTTTTCCCACTTTGGCCCTTCATGTTTCAAGTTTTTCCCAGTTTACTCCTAAAGTTAATTTATGTTAAAAATTAGACAGAAAATGACATATTGACAATCACATGACATAAAAATATTTTATTATATATAACTCACATCTCTGACATAAACTTAAACCCCAATATAATAATATATTTTTTTATATTATTTTATAGTTATTATGGCATTTTCTATCTAATTTTGAATAGAAGTTAGCTTTAGGAGTATATTGGGAAAAACTTGAAACATAAAGGGCCAAAGTGGAAAAAAAAAAATTTGAAGTGCCAAAATGGGAAAGTGGTCAAACATAAAGGGGGCAAAGTGTAATTTACCCTAAATTTGGAGATAGCAACTTTGTTCCATGGTGTATAATTTAATAATTAATTACTTTCGGAGAAAATCCTTAATAAACTTTTATAGCAGAAAATCACAGGCATATTTGTTGTATAGTAATTGGCAATATTAGTTTATGAGTACAAAGAAGGGGATTAGGAAATTTTATACAACCAAGATTTGATGTTGTATGTACATTTATGAAAGTTCATTACCTTGAAAAATAATGCATGCAAGTCATATTTTTATGCTGGAAGTTCATACCTTGAAAAAAATCATAGAGAAACCTAATATTTTATAGTTATATTAGTTGATAATTTTTTTTATCTCCTAGATTACTAATTATTAAAGGGTCTACTTAAATGCCCATTTGCATGATGGGTAGGTTAAGATGCTTGTTAAAATTGGGCTGCCATTACCTCCGTTCTAAAGTTCTAAAGGATACATCTTCAATTAACATTGTTGCGGATACCGAAATGGTTTGATGAATTTTGTTGCCGCCTTCCTCCCTAGTGGAATTTTGAATCCTTCTGCTCTTGACTCTTAAGAAGGTGTTTTGCTCGGCAATTTTCTTTCCTTACTCTTGGTATCAAATTTATGTTTGTTACCAACAAATGCAAATTGCTTTCATGTTCATGCCGATCGTGCATTTCCTCACTTCTTGTATGGGGGGAATTAAATTGGATGGATTTATTTGGAGTCTACACAAATCTCAAATGTAGATATGTATATATATTCATATTATTCCCATTTTGGCATGGAATGTCGGGGTACCATCATGACATTCTTTGGTGTAATCATCAGTTCATTGAATTAGCTTATCTGTTTTCTTACAATTGTTGTGAGTGTGGCAGTGTTCAGGATTATCATGTTTGTGTTATAGCAGTGTTCATAATATTGTGATCTGTAACTTGCATTTGGTGTTTTTGCCATTGTGTTTGTTTGAATCTATAGGCCACTCTGCCGTTACAGTTATTTTAGTTTTGTTCTTACCCAAAACTACTTCATCTTTAATTTATGGGAGCCCAATATAGTGTTCACATGAGCAACTAGAGCCCTGATATTAGTAGCTGATATAATGATAACACCAATTATGTTTGAGATGTACCATTCTTATTTTTGTAGATGACATTCATGATAGTGTACTCAAACTTTTTTTACTTTCATTTATGTATTTATGGTTCATGCATTGACCTTTAATGTTCAAGTTTGTAAGTGTTATTTTTGCCTGTAATTTTTCTTAATGCATTCTAGTATGCAGGAATGGAGTTTGACTCTCTGTTGAGGGTGTGGTCCACTTGCAGCAAGGATCTATTTCATTGTCTAGCTTTCTTTTGGTGGTGAAGCATACAATCAGGTATCTCTGCCAAGACTGTTTTGATAGTTTAGTATAAGATTTTGTCACTGTGTGCCCTTAAACTACATGTTAAGAAGCATAAAATGATTGTATATTCTGCAAGAAAGTGCGTGTAAGAAAGAATACACAGCCTTTTTAAGCTTTCTTAACTTGTATCCTAAGGGCACACGTTAACAAAATTGTTTACTATAATCGGATCAATCTATGCTTGTGTTGATCCGCTAATGAGAAAGACTGCAGAAAGATGGTGCAATACTGCTATTCTTCTTCTTTTTGAAGCATTTGGGTTTCTTTTCTTAATTCTTGAGCTACAATTTTTAGTTGTTTTTTGACAGTGCATACCAATTTATATTTCAGGTCAGGAATACAAGAACTGTTAATAGGACTGGACAGCTGACAGGCTACAAGTTGATACCTGGTACAAACTGTTTGCCATTGGCAGGTCCTGAGGCTAAGTTTTTGAGAAGAGCTGCTTTCTTGAAGCATAATCTCTGGGTTACGCAGTATGCGCGTGGTGAGGATTTTCCTGGAGGAGAGTTTCCTAATCAGAACCCCCGTAATGGTGAGGGGTTGGCTACATGGGTTAAGCAAAATCGATCTCTGGAAGAAAATGATATCGTTCTCTGGTAAGTTCTTATATCATTTTCAATATATATATATATTGTTAAGGATCTGTTTTTTGTATATAATCTTGCGTTTTCTACATGTAGTGTTTTATACTTAGGTGAGTAAAATTATTTATTTAATGGAATTTAGATTTTATGAGTATGATCCTACACATGATAATTACAGCAAACTAGCCTTTAGATTTTAAGAATTTGACAGAATTAATGAAATGCTTCAGACTTTTCTGCATTGTCCCGCCTGTTATGACTCATGTTGTTGCAGGTATGTATTTGGAATCACACACGTTCCTCGGTTGGAAGATTGGCCTGTTATGCCAGTGGAGCGCATTGGTTTTGTGCTTCAGGTATGTATTTGGAATCAGACATGTTCCTCTTCTTTTAGTTCTGTGTTATAAAAAAAGATTGACCTAGGCATCAACTTCAATGTAGCGTAGCCAAGTTGTGCAAGGCACACAAAGGTGCAAGGCATAGAGAGGCGAATGCCTCAATTGTGTTTGATTTGTTGAAGATGCAATATCAATCCTTGGATTTAATGAAGTGCATTGTAATTTTATGCCTTGACATATTCTATCAAAGCCCCCCAAATAAATAGAAAGCCTCAACTAGTCAATAAAATGCAGATAAATGCATATGCTTTTTACATTTTGGCTTATGTTATGTTCATAAATAGAAAAAAGATCGCATCTGCAACTTCTGTACAACTATGATCAAATTCATTAGATGAATTGGGTTTTGATGCCTTCATTTATTTATTTTTTTGTATAAAGAAACTTGAAAGAAGTCGGTGTACACATTCTTCCAACTTAGCTGACGAGCACACTGAAATTTGGAACCGTCCCAGATTCTATTTTATTTTTTTCTTTCTCACTCTTGCTTTTATTTTGTTTAATTTATTTTTGGTTCTATATTCGTTGCGTGTGTATGAAAATGTATTTCAAGATTTCAACAAAATAGGGCTGTCTTGGGAACTTGGGAAAGGGGTACATTATTGATGAAGTGGTCTGTTTTGTTATCTTTGTAAATACTTTGTGATCAAAGGTTTACTAAAAAGAGACATTGTAGTTGGGAATCCCCTACTATATGCATAAAAACCTAACTCTTCCAATCAATAGAATTACAATTTCAGTTTAATAGAATTGAGAATTTTTTTCCTGCTTCTATTTTTATTTATTTTTTTAATTTTTTTTTTCCACTCTAGTTTCAATTGTACATCCCAATTGCCTTGTTTGATGCGTTTGGGAATTACTTGAACGGTTTTTAGGTTTAGAAACGAACTAGACTTGGAAGGAATGTCTAGCCTTGAAACAATATTGTTTGTTGGTTTCTAAGAGCTTAATTTGTTCTTCTACCTATTTATATTGGTTATGAAACATGTGTCAATATGTACATTCCAAAACCTTATTTATATATTAACATTTTTTTCTTTATTTTAAGCACAGTCTATTGATGGATATTGAATTGAATTCAAGATGATATAGTCATTGAATCTAAATTTATAGCATGTGCTTGTTTGACAACTTTCTAGTTCTATTTAAAAGAGTTGCATTCAGTTTAATTCCAGCATAACGGCCTCTAGACCTTCAATGCTGGTTGTTTAGAACTGCAATAGCATTGGAATTTTTTTTCGAGCTTTGATAGTTACTGATCCTGGTAGTGATGTTGCTTATGGGTGCAGCCACATGGGTTCTTTAACTGCTCTCCGGCAGTTGATGTCCCTCCTAATATGTGCGACTTGGATAGCAAAGACACTGATGTCAAAGACACCGGAGTAGCAAAGCCAATTCCGAATGGGTTGATAGCTAAGCTTTGAAGGGCTGTTCACTACCAAATGAATCGGGGTCGTTTTGTCAGCATTCTAGTGTTGTGTGTTGTCTTGGACAGAAAGTTGGGATTGAATATGTAAAAATGTTTTCTCGAGTGGTCGGTTCTTGTACATTTGTGGACATTCCTGAACTTCGTATTTCTGGTTTGGAGCTCGTCTGGTGTTTGGATGATTTGCTTGTCTTCTTTATGTTTTTTTTTCTTCTCTCTTTCATGTCTGAAATCAGCTACAGTGCTAGTAGCATTTTCCAAGTGACTAATCAAAAACAGTTGTAATTTATAGGAGGAATTTCAATCAAATCTGTCTGTTCAATTTTTATTTTTATTTTTTTTGATATGGCTTCTTGTTGCTATTGATAAATTTCTGTTTACAAATTAAGGTGAGTGCTCCAAGTTGGGTTTCTTCTTAGAAAAATGTTAAAAACCACCTGCTTAAGTTTTTTTGCTTTATTATGGTGGTGGTGTTGTTGATTGCGACAACTAATGGAGTTGTTTTTTTTCTTTTCTTTTTTTGTCGTTGTGAACAGATCTAATTGTTGATGTTGTTGAGAAGGCCTCTTACCAAACTATTTCACCAGATCTGCTTGGGTAGAGCTTAACGGTGTTGATGTAGTTTGTCTGGGAGTAGGGTTGTAAATGAATCAAGCTGTTTATGGAAAAGTTCGGCTTGGCTCGTTAGTAAACGAGTCAAGCTCGAGTTCGCACAAGTTCAACTCGTTTATCTTTATTTAAATTATATAATAAATATATTATTTATATATTAAATAATATAAATAATATTTTTTACTTAAATAATATTAAAAAAAAATTTATGGAGCCTAGCCAAGCCAAGTTCGAGTTTCATTAATATTAACGAGTTGAGCTCAGCTCGATCTCAGTTCCTTATCAAGCTACTTATCAAGCTCGAGCTCAATAAAATGACTCGATAAGTAAACGAGCCGAGTTCAAACTCAGCAAAGCCCGACTCGACTCAGCTTAGTTCGTTTGCAATTCTACCTGAGAGGCTTCATATATATTATACACATCAGATATATTAGAATTCTTGAAAAAGTGGTTCATTTTCCTCCCCTTGGTAGAGACTCTCTCTCTCTCTTTCTTTCTGACTTTTTCTTCCAATAAATAATTTGAATTTTTTGTGGTGTTGTTATTGGGATCTATGATAGATAAAAATAAAAATTTAAACGGATAGAGTAAACAAACCTTGTTGAAATTTGACATATAAGAAAATTGGCTAGTGAATTTCAACAGAAAAGAAAAATAGGCTTATAGATAGGTACATATTTGAACAGATAAAAGAAGATTTGAATGGATAGAAATTTAGAAATTTCAACAAATAGATACGAATTTGGAAAGATAGTTAAACAATCTAAATAGATAGATATAAATTTGAATAGATAGGGAAAAAAGTTCAACAAATAGTCAAAAAAAAGTTAACAGATAAATAAATTAAGAGATAAAATTAAAAATAAAATGTCCTCCAGAATCAATAAAATAACTTTTCATTAAACTATTTTACAAAAGATGAATCTTTCATCAATAAAAAAATATCCACTAGACCTAGGGCTGCAAATGAGCTGAGTCAAACCGAGCCGAGCCGAGCTTTAGCATGTTTAGGCTTGTTTATTAAGATTTTAACGAACTCAAGCTCGAGCTCAAACTCAATAAAAATTTAACGAATCGAGCTCAAGCCGAGTTGACTTAGGCTTGACTCGAGCTCAAACTTGTTTACGAGCCTTAACGAGCTAAAAAATTTATAAATTCATACCTGCATATACGACTAAAGTTACAATTAAAACTTTGATTATACAATTATATATACAATATATATGAACATTCTAAAAAAAGTCAATAATTTATCAAAATAATAACATTTACTACCACTATTATATAATGGTACTATCTATAGTTAACTATTATTTAAATTTATATTTTTTTAAATATATAGATAATATATTTATCTTATTTTTTATACATATTTTTATATTATTTAATATATCAATAATAAATATTAATCGAGCCAGCTAACAAGCCGAGTTTTAGAATGTTTGAGCTTGTTTATTAAAAATTTAACGAGCTCGAGTTCAAGCTCAAAAGTAAAAAAAAAAAAATTACGAATCGAATTCAAACGAGCTCTTATTAGCCCAACTCAAATCTATCCACGAACGGCTCTATTCATTTGCAATCCTAAATCTAGACCTAATACCTTAAATAATTACTAGAGTGGATTGCCTTAAACAATTATTATAGTGGACTTTTCAACAACTTTTTTCACGCTTAATTGTGCTCGGCTAAACAAGAAGTTATTAGTTCGTTCAGAGGTAGTGTCACGAGACACTTCACATGTATTGTTATTGATAGAGAGAGTTAGGCTTATGATTTTATTTTAGATAATTAAAAAATATAAGAAGATATAATAATTTATCATTGATGAGGATTGCAATACTAGCCAATAATTTTTCCTGCTAAACTAGTTGACCTGGATTGATCGTGAATTGGTCCACGGTGGCGCTTCCAGCAAGTGTTCCGTCATTTGAAAAAAAAAAGAAAAAGGATTAAGGCATAGTTTGAGAAGTTGGTTTTGGTGTGTTAGGGGATAAAATAGTCACAAAAAATAAAATAGATTATTTTAGTTACAAAAAATAAAATATCAAATCTAACCCATAATCATTACACTCCTCTCTCACAAAAAAAGTCAAAAAGTCAAAAAATTCTTCCCAAACCAGGCTTTTTAGCTCCAGGCTGAAATAGTTAAAAAGTCAAAAAGTTAACCCACTTCTCAAACGGAGGCTAAAGTGTATTTGGTACGATATTTTAAAGGATTTTATAAAAAATTACAAAATTTTAAATTAGGAATAAATGAAAAAATGGTAAAAATAGCTCTATAATTGTTTATTTTTTTGACTTTTATTACAAAATATATATTATTGATCACTTATCTTTTAATATTCAAAGAATTAAAAGGGATAAATATTTAAATATAATATTTTGGTTAATTTAATCACTTATTTGCTGAAATATATACTTGTTTTTGTTTATTTTAATATTTATTCGTCATTTATATTAGTTTTAATCACTGAATCTTATTTACTGTAATTATGTTAAAAATATAATGCTAATTATATATTTTCAAAATCTTAAAAGAGGTACTTGTAATTTATCTTAAAAAATATTAGGAACATAAAATGGTCATAAAATGATTTACAAAAATTGTAGTAATAAAAAGTTGTGATATTCAAAATAAATATTAACTTATTATTATGATTATTTTTTTGTAACTTAATTTATATTTTAATTGTGTGGCCTTAACGCTAGAGGCTTTTCCTAAATTAAGCTAAAATAGCAACTTAATTCCCAAACTAGGCCTAGTTTGGACGGAATTCCCAAACTAGGCTAAAACGCTATTACAAATCACGCTTTCACTGTTTCCAGACGGAAAATTTGTGAAATAGTAAAAGTGTGGTTACAAACCACGCTTTTAAGGAAATTTCATATATACATAAAACGTGGTTAGAAAGCACACTTTTAATGAAAATTTGTTTTCTTCAGAAAACGTGGTTTGAAACCACGCTTTTACTGTGCTTATAATTAAAATTTTATTTTCTGAAGAAAACGTGGTTCCAAACCACGCTTTCACTGTGCATATTTGTTTTCTTAAGAAAACGTGATTTACAATCACGCTTTCATTGTTGAATGTAAAATCCGTGGTTAAATGAAAGCGTGGTTTGTAACCACGCTTTTACAACTTATATAAAAACTCCCAAGCCCCTTCATTTGCAATCACGTTTTTCACACTTACGTTTTTTCGACTCTCACTCTCGCTCTCCCTCTCCCTCTCCCTTTCCCTCTCCCCTCTGCTCTCAGACTCTCTCTCTGCTCTCACTCTCTGTCTCTCTGCTCTCTCTCCGTCCTGGGTTGCTCTCTCTCGCTGGTATGACATATGTCTCTCTGTCTCATTTGAATTTTATGTGTTTATTGTGTTTGTGAAAATGTAAATGTGTGGTTTTGAATTGGTAAAATGCTGTGGTTTTGAATTGTGAAAATTTTCTAGGGTTTTCAATTGAATGTGAAATCATAAATTAGTGTTAGGGTTTTGAATTGTGAAATTAGAAATTAGGGTTAGGGTTTCAGAAATTAGGGTTTCGAATTTTGAATCGTGTCTATATTTTTTGCATTGTGAATTGTGAATCTGTCTATATTTTTTGAAATTAGGGTTTGGAATTTTGAATTGTGAATAAACCAACCTATATTTGTTGAATTGGAAATTTTATTTTTTGCTTATTAATAAAAGGAATTTTTTTTTTAATTAAGAATAAAATTATGAGAATTGAAATTCATATAATTGAGAATTGGTAATGTTATATTATGAAATTCATATAATTAAGAATTGAAATTCATATTATGAAATTCATATAACCGCTGATGCTTCTAGTTTATGAGAATTGGTAATTGAAATATATTTTTAATATCATTAAAAATTATTATTTGTCTTAATGATTTATTAAGACAAAAATTTATTATAAATGGAATAATCATTTATTATTATAAGGGAATAATGATTCTAGATGGGAGACTAAAAGATGACCATTTTTATGTCATTCAATCTCATTTCAATGACTAAATAAAACAAAAGGTATAAAATGACTAATTAAGTAATCAATCTTATAGTTTGATACATTTCTTATACATATTATAATTGTTGTTTTAGATATATTTTACAAATTATATATTTCTATTCGTAAATCAAAACATATCGGATAAATTACACTCACATCTCTTAAGATAATATCTTACAAATTTAACATAATCACACCGACCTCTTTAGACCGGGTTGAGTTCCACACGAACACTGTCCAAAATGTTCACAGACTTGGGTTGAGCTCTTAGACAGGCTAGGAAAGACATTGCTTCAACATCATCCAGGTATTAGATCTGTTGGAAAAAATGGTTTTTTTTTTGGTGACTTTAATTAAAGATTAAAGTGGGTCCCAACCATCTATTGTGAATGGCCAAAAACCATTGAGATTTGAATGAAAAATTACCTCATGAAGTTAGCTTCATGGAAAAAAGGTAATGAAGTTTGTAACTCCTGCATTAATGGGGTTTGTAACTCCTACATTAATGGGGTTTGTAACTCCTTCCTTTATTGCAGAGGTTAATGGTGCATTATGAACAGCCATAAAGGCTGGAGGCTCTTCCTCTCTCCCCTATACATGTATAAATTGAGACCCTCCTATCAAGTCTCAAACACAGAAATTTTTACTTCCATTTTCACAAGTCAGTTTGCCTGAAAGTTCCTACAGTGAGAGAGTGCTGCCACTGTTTTGTTCGCTATGCTAGACAGAGAGTGCTTCTGCCATAGTTTGGTTTTGACCGTCGTATCCTGGGAGACAGACGCCGGGATTCCTCAAGCACTCGACCAGTGAGGCGGCGAGATCTGTTTTAAGGAAACTACTTCCGTGCAGGCTTCGGTTTTGTCTCTTTACTCTTTTATTGTTTTGTGTATTTCTGTTGAAATTTAGTTGTAATTATTAGCTTGTGTTCTAGTATATATATAATTTGATTTCTTCATAAATCTATTTGTTTAATTTCAAAATTTGAACAACAAGCTTAAAACAGATTTCTCATGTATGTTTTCCTATGAAATTGATCGAATAGATTTATATATTTGTATAATGTTACTAGGAACTGTTGCGGAATTGCTCCCTATTTCAATTATGCAATGTGATTCTCTAATTGTTTAGTTTAATTAGAATGCTCTATCATAATTTGTATACTTAATTGTATTACTCTGATCTTATTTTATGAGTATGGTTCATCATTCCCCTTCTATGATTTGCATGAATTTTAAGGTTATAAAATATAATTTATTGATGTTGTAATTTTGACATGCTAATTCTATTCTATTCTATTCTAGGTTTTAATTTGTTACATGCTAATTATTTTCTAGACTGGATTACATGATTTAATCTTTAGAATTTTTGCATGTTAATGGTTGAATGGTTATATACTTGAAGTGCTTGGTTATTAGTTTATTACATATAAACAATTCAAATTATTTACATAAACCGCATGCTACTTATTTGGTTTCATCCTATATGTCTAATGTTGCATATGTATATTTTGATTTTGCATGCTTCTAGCTTTGCTATCTAATTTGCATGTGAAATTGCTTCTAGTTTTCTAGAGTTATACACATAAGTTATTTCCATGAATAGTGTGTGATTTAATTGGATGAATTAAAGTTTGAATTAAATGTAGTTCTTTGGAGTTATAAAATTTGTGTAACTTGCCTATATTTATTTACATGGTTATTGTGAATTAAATTCTTATATAATTTATGGCAATTAATTTTTTAATTTAATGTAGAAGTTATAAGGTTTTGTAACTTGTATAGTATCTTAATTCCTTAGTTATTTTGCTATTCTATGATTTGCTAGAAGGTTAAATAATATTTGATTGTATGTACAATTGCTTTATATTATGTTGTCGTTTTCTACTAACTCTCTTTGTAAGCATACCTAAGCGTAGAAAGGAATTGTATGGACTACTTATAATCCTCAATTGGATTGGTTATTTTTCTTTATGTTTGAAGAAATTTTTTACTTGAGATTTAGTTGGTTTGTTTACCAATTTGTAGTAGCAAGTTTTATTTGCTTATTAGACGCATTTTATATGCATGTATTTGGTTATAGCAATTTTAAATTGTTTGCAAGTTTAAATTGCTTGTACGTTTGTTCTTTATAAGAATGAAGTTGAGAATCAAGTAGGCCGCAAGATTAAGGTTTTAAGAAGTGATCGTGGTGGTGAGTATGAATCACCGTTTATTGAGATTTGTGCTCAATCCGGGATTATCCACCAAACCACGGTGCCTTATTCTCCTCAATCAAATGGGGTTGCTGAACGGAAGAATAGGACGCTAAAGGAAATGATGAATGCAATGTTGATAAGTTCTGGATTGCCACAGAACATGTGGGGGGAAGCAATTCTCTCTGCAAATTACATTCTGAATAAAGTACCCCGGAAGAAGGTGGACAAGACGCCATATGAGTTATGGAAAGGCGTTAAGCCTTCATACAAATTCTTACGAATGTGAGGGTGTCTTGCAAAAGTGGCAATTCCTACACCCAAATGGGTTAGGATAGGCCCAAAATCCGTAGATTGTATATTCCTGATGATGCAACAGATTCTGCATGAGACATTGGCTCTCCAACATGTTTAACGATTCTTTTGAAATGAAGAGGCAGATTATAAACACCTTCAGCCTACAAAAAGCACCTTTGTTGATTGCAGTGAAAAAACAATTGTTATTGTTATTATTAGTATTATTATTGGGTTACATGGTGAAAACATACAGACCTCAAATGTAAATCAGATTGCAGATTTTGTTATATTTGGTGGTGCTTACAGCAACAGAGCATTGACTATCATGTCAAGAAGTTGCTTACTTAGATAAATGTCAAGAAATTAGAACTGCAATCGATGATCTTCATACAAGCAGATGAAAATTTACTTCAAATGTGCAAGAGAGAGATTTCAGATCAGTATGCACCAATGAATTTGCTCCAATAAAAGATGCAACTTTTGGCAGTTTAAACCCAGTAACCTACCCAACTTGACATGTGAGTTTTCAAACTTGAGTTGGCCAGGGTGAGTTTTCAAACTTGACATGTTAAGATCTGATTTTAAAGTCTCTATAAATGCAATGTTCAGATTGTAGTCCTTGAAGATTTCATTTCTTCAGTAATCTCCTTTCATATAAAACCATATATCTCCAAGCTTCAGAGAATTTTGACGAAGAATTGGAGCGTTCCTTCTAGAGCAGGCTTAACTTCTTCTTCAGACTAAGTAATATGCCAACAAATGAATGTGCACTTATGAAAATGCATAGTTGGATGCAAAGCTCAAATGAGATGCAATGTTCAATTAAATATAGTGCAAATTCCTCATTGTCTGTTTCTGTAATCCTATCTCCTATAACAACTATATTGACTGGTGCATGCACCCCTATTATGTCATCTACATCAGTGCAAATTTTTAAAAGTATTTTCGATGAATGATTAACAATCTATTTCATATGTTAAGATCATCTGTTCATGTTCTGTAATCTTATAGAACATATATTGACTGGTTTTTTTGTGTTTGAGCTGCTATGTCATCTCCATCAGTGTAAATTTCTGAGAATGTTTTCCAATTATTTAAACAAACGAACCAAGGAATATAAATACTTACTTCTGCACATATTCTCCCCACAGTTCTTATTGCCTCAATCGGATATAGGCCCCGAAGTGTTTCTGGTCCCAGTAATATACCATCGGTTCCTTACAGAATATATACACAAGAAAAATAAAGAAAATTTAATCTGCAGGTTTAAGCAAACTAGAAAATAATGCTCGACTGCATGAAGTTACAAACCATCAAGAACAGCATTAGCAACATCTGTTGCTTCTGCACGAGTCGGCCGTAGATTTGCAGTCATACTATCCACCACTCGAGTAATTATGGCAGGTTTTCCAACCATGTTACACCTATATATGGCAGACTTCTGAAACAAGAAAACCTACAATAGAGACATACCGCTAAGATTTTGTATAGACCAAGATATCTGAATGTTATAATATTTTGTTACGTCATTAGGACAAAATTGTAAACCTGTTGAGGCTTGGAAATTCTCCAACCTAGTTGACTGGAGATCCCAAGATCTAGGTTCAATGGGACAACCTAATTGCGTGTAACTGTGGTATGTCACTGAGGAGGTTAAACCTCCAGCCATTCCTTCTATCAGTGATACCTGCAAGTGTAGAGGTTAAGCTGAGCTTTTAATGACTCTAGTGTGTTAAGCTATTGAGCTGAGTATAGCAGGATACTCAAGTAGAGTCACCTATGTGAGTGTGAAGTGGGGCCGCTTCTAGAAGAATTGGGCAGGCCAAGATTCTTTGAAACCACTCGCTGAACCAGGCTAGTGTCCAGGGCCACACAGGGCACACCAGTGAGAACAGAATGGTGGTAGGAGTAATTCCCGTGTGAGATCTATTGTCTCAGTTTACATAAACGGCAGAGCAGTTCAAGATGTCATATTCACTGATCAGCCAGTAAACTTGATAGGTTTTCACTGGGAGAGGTTCAAAGCCAAAAGCTACCTTCTCTGATGTCGGAGTTAGTTCGTTGTACTCTCTCTTCGAGTCTTTATTGTTGAACGATGTCCATTTGTTGAGTCTTTCGGTCAATTTTTATTCATGTGGGGGATTGTTAGAAAAAATAGTTTTTTGGTGATTTTAATTAAATATTAAAGTGGGTCCCAACCATCTATTGTGAATGGCCAAAAACCATTGAGATTTGAATGAAAAATTACCTTATGAAGTTAGCTTCATGGAAAAAAGGTAATGAAGTTTGTAACTCCTGCATTAATGGGGTTTGTAACTCCTGCATTAATGGGGTTTGTAACTCCTGCATTAATGGGGTTTGTAACTCCTGCATTAATGGGGTTTGTAACTCCTGCATTAATGGGGTTTGTAACTCCTGCATTAATGGGGTTTGTAACTCCTGCATTAATGGGGTTTGTAACTCCTGCATTAATGGGGTTTGTAACTCCTGCATTAATGGGGTTTGTAACTCCTGCCTTTATTGCAGAGGTTAATGGTGCATTATGAACAGCCATAAAGGCTGGAGGCTCTTTCTCTCTCCCCTATACATGTATAAATTGAGACCCTCCTGTCAAGTCTCAAACACAGAAATTTTTACTTCCATTTCACAAGTCAGTTTGCCTGAAAGTTCCTACAGTGAGAGAGTACTGCCACTGTTTTGTTCGCTAATCTAGACAGAGAGTGCTTCTGCCGTAGCTGGTTTTGACCGTCGTATCCTGGGAGACAGACGCCGGGATTCCTCAAGCACTCGACCAGTGAGGCGGCGAAATCTGTTTTAAGGAAACTGCTTCCGTGCAGGCTTCGGTTTCGTCTCTTTACCCTTTTATTGTTTTGTGTATTTCTGTTGAAATTTAGTTGTAATTATTAGCATGTGTTCTTGGTATATATATAATTTGATTTCTTCATAAATCTATTTGTTTAATTTCAAAATTTGAACAACAGGATCATCTCTATTAGATCATCTCTATTAAAAAGAGAAAAAATATTTACAAACTTTGTTGAATTGAGAGGAAGAAAAACAAAAGATTCTGAAAAAGTCAAGTGTATAAAAAATGAGGATTCGAGGGTATTAGTGAAGGATGAGGATATTATGTAAAGGTGAAAATGTTATTTTCAGAAAATGTTAAATGAAAAACATTTAGAAACTTTAGGAGAGAAATGTGGTAGCATTGATGGAACTAGAGAGTATAAGTTTTGTCATGTAATAAAGGAGTTTGAAGTGGAATTTATATTGAAGAGGATGAAATTAGGTAAAGCATTGGGATTGGATTGTATTCTTATTGTTGACATTGAAAATGCTTAGCTCTTGGTTAACAAAATTATTTGATAAGATTCTAATGATTAAGAAAATGTATGACGAGTGGAGAAAAAGTATATTTGTACCTATATATAAAAATAAAGGAAATATCTAAAATTGCAACAATTATAGATGTGTTGATGATTCATAAAATGATTGTAATGGAGGGTAATTGTTAGTTAATTAGTTTGGATTTATGCTAGGCCAATCAATTGTGGAAACCATATATTTACTAAGTAGATTAATGAAAAAGTGAAAAGAGAAGAGGGGTTTTCATATAGTTTTTATAGATTTAGAAAAAAAAACCTTACGATACGTTGCTTAGAGATATAATATAGTGAGTGTTAGAGAGAAAAAAAATGTAACCAATGAGTATATTGATGTGATAAAAATATGTATAATGAGGTTGTGACTACAATTAGTTCACCTGTTGGAGAAGCTAGTGAATTTTCAATCATTGTAGGACCTATACCAGAGGTAAGCTGAGTCCTTACTTATTTGCCATAGTCATGGATGAATTAAGTAAACACAATTAGGATGATGTCCCATGGTATACGTTGTTCGCAAATGATATTGTTCTAGTGGATGAAGCTAAGGGAGGAATTAACACTAAAAGTTTGGAGATAATCATTTGAGTCAAAAGGGTTTAAAATTAGTAGCTAAATTGAATATGTAACTTTAGTAACAATGGAAGTAAAAATAATAGAGAAGTGATCCAGAGAATCTAAGGGTGGGCATCGTGTTTGTGTTGTGTCATGTCATCTCAAATTCGTGTCAGAATTCTCTTAACACTAACACAATATTATTATTATTATTATTATTATTATTATTATTATTATTATTATTATTATTATTTTGTGTTATTGTGTCATGTTATTTGGATTCATGTTTGATTCGTGCCATATTAACGTATCATGCTAAAAAAATCGTTGTAATTAAAAATACTAAGTGTATGGAAAGATTAACGTTTTTTCCTAAGTTAAATTTTATGAAACTAATCTCTACTAAATGAAATTATTAAAAAAAATAATAATTAATTTTGACTCTATTTTATTAAAAAAAATATTTTTATTGACTTCAAAATAATAAATGAAAAGATCATGTTCTCTCAAATAAAAGACAAAATGACTATATTAACCTCAAAATACTATTTTACGTATTTTCTTTATTTAATTGTGTAGGTTACATGAGAGATTTAAACATTTCTGGCATCCTTCAATTAAAATAATATTAAAATTTGTAACTAATTATCTATTAAATGGGTTATCTGTGTCAATTTCATATTATGCAGGTTTGACATAACCCTATTTATTTATCATGTTATTATATACTGTCATATTTGTGTTTGTGTTGAAAATGTTCAACCCTAACCCCTAACTTCATGTACGATTCATGTTGTGTTAGAAATTCCCACATGTAATAGAATCAAAGTAGGTTCAAGTGGAGTGCCTTTGGCATATTATGTGATCAATGATGCTAACAAAATTGAAAAAAAAAATTTATAAAACAATTGTAAGACCAATGATACTTTGCAGTTCACATAATATTGGACAATTAAGAAACAACAAGCTCATGAAATGAGTGTAGTTAAGATGAGGATGCTCAGGTCGGTGTTTGGTAAGTTTTGGACAGAGAGAAATAGAAATGAATATACATTAAATGGTAGGAGTAGCACCAATTGAAAATATGTTGAGAGAGAACAAACTAAGATGGTTTGGTATGTACAATGAAGACTAGCAGATGAAATGGTAGAGAAGAATGTGATAGGATCACCGTAAAAGGAAATGTTAGGGGAAGACATAAATTGACTTGGGATGTGATAGTAAAAAAATTAAACGAATTTATTTAATTTAACCGAGCATATAGCTTTTAATAGTACGAAATGACGAAAAAAGGATTCACGTATCGTAGCTCACTTGATTGGGACATAAAGCTTTAGTTTCGTTTGGTTTATTTATATTTTTTCAAAAAAATCAAAAAATAATTAAAAAAATCAAACCAAACCGCTATATCATGTATTGTTTTTAATATACATTCAATAAAATTAATAATTTTTATAAAAAATATTAACTTTGATATTAGAATAATTTGAAGACATTTCATCATAAAATACTAACATTTAATTTTATAATTTTGTAATAAAAATTTTAAAAAATAATAGCATTATAGTAGAAATTAAAATTTCCTCACAAAACTTAAGAAAATTTGAAAAAATTTTTGACATGGGTATTGAACGAAGGGACTCATCGCCACTTTCGCTTTGTGATTGTCCACCACCATTGAAAAGGAAAATATTAACATTATGTTTTAATAATTTTATTTTGATTTATATAATTAGAAGTCATTATTAATTGCACCGTGCCTTCAGGCACGGCCATACACTAGTTATAATATATGCATCAAAAGAGTCTTAAAACATTCTAATTAATAGTCCATAGAAATTTCCGGATTTATGAAGGAAAAAAAAAATGCCACTTTGATGGGTAAGCCTGTGTTTCATAATATCAAATAATTGCTACGGATGGCCCACTAGATTGACATGGATAACTATCCAAAATTTACTACATACATTTAACCACCAACATAAATTTTCTCTCTATTTTTTGGCCATTATAAATTATCTCTCTATTTTTTTTTTGTAAGTTTAAGAAAAAAAAAAGAAAATAAATTAATTTTTTTTCTTACTTTTTAGAACAAGCCAAAATGAGCTTTTTGTTTGAATTTCATAACAAAGCCTCTATGACCTCTAAAAAGTGGATGAGGGTTACTATTTCACATAGAAAATAACTTTGTCATTAAGGTCCCTAATGGCACAAGTTTGAGCAAATCAAATTAACTTATCTTTAATTGTCCATAAATCTGAAGAATTGGATCACCAGTTTTAAAAAATTAAAAACAATGTTTGAAACCTCTATTTTATATTGTCCAAATCAATCGAGTTATTTCAACTCAATGAAAAAAATAATAATTTCATACAAAACTTACACTATGATTTAAGATGTTTGTATGACTTGTCCAATTTTGTCCAATCTCACTGAATAAAAAAAATACTTGATAGAATGAAGTGTTTTTTAAATGTGTGATATATCTGTCTACTTTATCAAAATACTAAAAAATAGATCAAGATTTATGAAAAGAAAACAAAATAGTATTTTTAAAATTGGTCTCACTT